TCTAATAAATTACACCCCATTACACGATTTCGTTGTTTTTACTGAATTACGATTTTCTGTCTGAAGACGTTGCGTCGAATATACTGGTATCTAATCTATGAAAATACTTAGTATTCGTATTTAGTGCTAGTGACATTTGAATATTCATACGTGGCATCATGCTCAACTTCCATAATGTCGATTTCGGTTATACAAGAGCGTAGGAATTCGATGTTGGCCTTCAGGATCGTCCGCAGACTTTGGGCATTAGATGGCTCCAAATATACTACCTTATCCAAGTACTGAGCGATAACATGTGGGCAGTCCCAGATTTGGTCGGCTGTGTGGCGATCCTCCCACTATGAACAGATCGATATGCTGATAGATTTGAGATACAGTAGGGAATGGTAAACGGACCGTCGGCTGCCTGATACACTTCATACATCGTCCTCAGGCCTCAGTGATGAACTTGTATGGTCCTAAATGTATTACACGTGGGACCGTACCTGACGAATGAAATACTGGCTGACGCCATACTTTGTCAAAACATGTGTCACACTCTGAGTTAAAGTCAACACCGTCTGGATAGTTGTAGATATGAGTTTTAATGATTTTGAAAGCAGGCTTGAGTGAAGCAAACTAAGGCAGCGTTAGCCCGAACTCAATCAAGTTTGACTGGATAGGAGACCACGCGAATATACAAGTCATTTGACGCACGGTGTTAGAGTGCCGCTGTCTATAGTTACGGGAAAACAAAGTTTGTAATCGCTGCAGGTTTGCGAAACTAAACATTTATTCGCGAATTGGGACGGTGTTTAAGGCAGTCTCACTTAAATTTCGTCCAAACGAGAGTAAGAGAAACAGCGGATTCAGTCGAGTCTTCCGTCAACATCATTTTAGTTTGCAAAAGGAATACTAACTTGTGCGTGCTTACGATTCGGTGAGAAGATAGCAATAAAAATAACTAGTCCCATTTCAGCAACCTTATGAGTAGTGTGTTACTGCCAGAACTTTTGTCATGATTTGGACGAAGTATGCAGCGCTGGAGAGTCCGATATTAAGATCCAGTCATTAGCAGTTCCAGGTGCTGTAATTTAATTTTTCATCCTTCTCGAAATTCACTAACCTGTGATCAAGGGCTGGTGTTCCAAAGTCCAACCGATAAGATTCACGTGCTAATGCACTTTACTGTGAACGTATTATCTCTTGCTGACGATAAGCACACACTATCCATATGGTATTAGGAAAACAACAACGCTCCACTCTTCAATGCATGGCCGCCAGCCCATTCAGAAAAATGATGCGTGGAATCCACAAGACTTTTGGCACTCAAAACAACCAACCAAACTATTATCATTCCTTAGACAATGGTGACCCTACTGTCGCCTGTAGCTTTCATATTGTAGCATATTTGTTGACACAGGAATTCTTGGCTAGGTTCTGACTTCTAAAATGTGGTGAGTGGCAATAACAGATAAATTAGGTTAACGTGAACTGACGCTAATTTGAGCGCTCTGCTGAACAGCGGAACGCATCCAAAGGAAAGGCACGCAGAGTACAACTGTGCCAAGTAAACGGAATTAGTTGCAAAGTCTAGCTCAGATCTCCTGTAAAATAGCCATTGCGTGTCATAAAGCTCCGAAAAAAGTGAACAAACGAAGTCTTTCACAAGTGCTGACGATTTCGAGGTCTGAGAGAAAGTTGGCCTAATAACCACAGCTGATTAGATGGATGTTTGACCGTCGAAAGAGCGGAATTCGAGCTAGGCTGTTTATTGGTTCTGTGTTTTCAGGATGTAACGGTCCACTCGTGCCACAGAACTAACCTAGACTAGGGTGAAAGAGTCTTCCTTCGGGAACACTTAGGGCGTCTTCACTTGTATGCGTAGCCGTGCACCGTTGTTCGGGTATACCAGTCATAGTCTCCAGGACTCTCCGTTGATAGCAATCTTCCTGAAAGATAGCTGGACGAACAGGCACTTCAGCTCTGTGATTCACTTTACTTCGGCTTGAGGGCAAGTTCCAGTGTGGTACAGTATTGACCTTTCCGGGTGGTAGTTCCCCTTTATCAGGAAGGTCAGATTCCTGAAAGCAACCACTGAATGCCCGAAATCTACTGAGACCCTAAGCTCCGCTAGATGCTGACCAGACAGACAACGCCCCCTCAATATGCAGCACGGCACAGCCTTGTGTCAAACCCAGACAGCTTGAGTCAGCATTGGGCCAAGTCCAGACAGTGTCTCTCCAATAAATAGCTTGAGACCGTTGCATTTTCACACTCGAAGGTACTCACGCTCTCGCACTCACTTGTTCGGAATAGAGCTGTTGTGTTCCATTCTGTGAGTCCTTTTCCCGATACTAGGCAGGTCGGATACAACATATTGGTGAATCAGCAGATATAACACCCTTTGGGACGATAAGTGGACCTGCGGTTCACCGAAGAATCGTTGCTTTTCTGTCCGTAGCTTATGATTTTCCTACCACGGCTCAACGCCTCTGTCCTCTGATCTCTGGAAGTTATGGGTCTGATACAGGTCACATTTCAGGAGACATCTATCGCCGAAAGTTATGTCCTTGACAAACGCCTGACCACCAGTGATGAGCTTCTGAAAACCCGTAGCGAGATTAGGGGACATCGTCAAGGGTTCCAGAGAAGACAACTTTTTCACTTACCGCGCGACACGACAGACGCAGATAGGGTTTTGCCGTAAATAGTATGGCTAATGACATAATCCACTGGTGGCTGCAACACCTTCCATCTGGCATTAAAAATTACCAGACAAGAAAGTTTTGCATTTCAAAACTGATAAGCGTATAGATGCGGGGGCGTAAGGCAAACTGATGGGAAAATCGGTCAAACATGTGAAGAGGAAACGGACGTAAAGCATGGAAAATACCATGTATTAAGTGATTGATTGATTGATTGATTGATTGATTGATTGATTGATTGATTGATTGATTGATTGATTGATTGATTGATTGATTGATTGATTGATTGATTGATTGATTGATTGATTGATTGATTGATTGATTGATTGATTGATTGATTGATTGATTGATTGATTGATGGGCGTACCAGACCAAGACGCAAACGATGTGAAATGCGTTTGGGACGACATACCAGAATTAATACTGAGAAATTAATGCAAGTTAGTAGTTGTATACGTTTCCCCCAACATCGGATGATCTGACAGAAAAACAAAGCAAGGAAAACGGGGTTAAATAGTCAATGGAATGGGAACAACAGATCAGCTTCAGACCCACATAGTCAGTATTAAAGAAGATGGCTACACTGTCTAAGACTTGGAAGAGGAGAAAGCCATTTGCAAATCGATTTGGTTGTCACGGGAGCCTCAAGTGAATAACTTGTTTATGATGTTCTTCAACTGAAGTGCTGCACACAGGCCGCTTCATGTTTCAGTTGGTACCGTATTCGAGATATCACAGTATATTTTCATGAAGGATACTACTCACAAGGTTGCTGAAAACTCTTCGACAACCCACGACCGGTTTCACCCTTCTTGGGGCTCATCGGGTAGGCGCAGTCCCCGAGTTTCCG